GGAGCCAAACACTTCAGAGACGTGTTTTGTATATAACTGAGACCCATAATATATTGATGAAAAACAGTATAATAGGGGACCTTTACAAATATATGTTTGTGTTCTCAGGTGGGAGGTGGACCCAGATTACTGTGATGAGGTTAAGCAGACTCCTCCATACGACCGAGGCACTCGCCTGCTGGACGTCATGGATATGACCATCTTTGATTTCCTAATGGGTAAGAGTTTTTAAACTATGGCATCACATGTTGATATGTCGCATTTACAGATTAAAAAAGGGCATCATTATTTCTTGAAGTCCCCTCAACACTTTGCTCTCTCCTGGTCCAGGTAACATGGATCGTCATCATTACGAAACTTTTGAGAAGTTTGGAAATGACACCTTCATCATTCACCTAGACAACGGAAGAGGGTAAAAACAAGTGTCTGTGTTATCAACCACTGAATCTGTATTCACTGTAACAAACAGTCGCTGTCTGCTGTGATGATTTCTGTTTCCTTATTCTGATCTTTATTGCCTCCCTTGTAGGTTTGGAAAACACTCCCATGATGAGCTGTCCATCCTGGTGCCTCTCAGTCAGTGCTGCAGGTTTGTTGGTGAATTAAAAACTCCATTAAGACCAGAGCCATGTCTCAACATATACAGAGGGCATGGACACACTTTAAGAGTACTAGCACTGCCCTTCAGGCCTCTCAACTTGAGTCACAAACCTAAAACCTGTACAGAAATGCTTTGATGTCAATTTTTTCTTTTTTACCACGTCATTGCATTTGCATTAGCACCACTCTATGAATAAAGTTTACTTTTTTAAAGTGGACCCATCATGCTATATTTGAAACATATATTGTAGGGCTATACCTATACAAAACATGTCTGTGAAGTTTTTTTTTCTAAATACCAAACAGATCATGCATTTTAGCCATGCCTCATTTCACTCTATTTGCTCTTTTCCAGCCCTGTAATGCAAGGGCTGATTCTGCTTTTGTGTCAGACTACAGCGCCACTTACAGGCCTGGCATATGTACTACAGCGTCTCCAGCGCTTTCGAGCGGTCTCTCATTCTCCTGATAGGTGGAGAGTTGCCCATATAGGCGGAGCACCCCTTTTCTAATGTCAAATAATAATCAGCTCCGTTGCAGCCCCGTTTTTAGAGATTTGGGTATTGAGGAAAAGAGAGAGGGGTTATGTTTTCTGACACTTGGTGAGTTCCCTGACACACCGGGGACACATATTCATGTATAAAGACGTACACAAGTGCATTTTGCATGATAGGTCCCCTTTAACTTTTCTCCATTAGTGCATCTGCAGCATGAGTGATACGCTTCCTTCAAAAGGGTGAATTCCAGATGAATGTTGTAGTTCATTAACAGGAAGAGGCCTAGTGGTGAAGACGCTATACAACCATAATGTGTCGAATTTCTGTCTACTTCCATCTACTACGGCAAAGAACAGTAACAAAAAACATTAAGCAATACTTCACGCCTAAAATGCCTCTACAGTGAAAAACAATTCAAAGTCTTATGCTTGTGTTTGATATAGTTTTGCAGTATTTATGTGCAGCCCCCATTTATTTTTAAAATGTTCACAGATATTCTCTGGTTTGGATTATTTGTTCAAAGAGGAGGAATGCAAAAAAACGAATCATTCAGGTCCAAACGGAGTTGATATCCAAGTGATCATTATTACTTTAGTGTACCTATCTATCATTAGTCTTCATAGTCAGAATATACACATTAATATTAGAGAGTGAAGTTTAATTCAGAATGACCTATTGAATGTCCTCTCCAGGGTGAAGAAATCCACCTACGTGCGCCTCAAGCTGCTGGCCAAGGAGGAGTTCAGGCTGAGCGTCCTGATGGAGGAGTCCCTGCTGCGGGACCACCTGTCCCCCGTCCTGCTGCAGCGCCACCTGCAGGCGCTGGACCGCCGGCTGCGCCTGGTGCTGCAGGTCCTGGAGGGCTGCGTGGAGAAGGAGGGCTACGCCAACGTGGTGGAGGAGGAGGTCGGGGGGGACACGGCCACCCACAGGACCCCCGGACACAGGTAGTGAGGGCAGCAGAGGGGGACACACCACCCGGGACACATGGACCACGTCTCTGGCTGTTCGGCCAATAGGAGCGACCCACTTCTGATATCAAGCTGAATTCAGTGAATTCCAAGACTTGCCATCATTGCCTCTCTGAAAACTGCTTTTACGTGTTTATATAGAAGAAGAAGGAGCCGCCATGAAAGACTGTGCTCACACAGAGGATTTGTACTTGTTAGATACAGATGTATTTTTGTCCTATAAGACATAAAGAACCAATGCTGTGTTCTGATTGTTTTGAGTATGGAGGGTATCAGTTCGTTTCATGTGTTTTATTATATTAGTACATAACCAAATGAGTGGAATGGAGGGGCGTCTGGGGGACCGTTAGCTTTATCAGTTATCATGATGTATGGAAAGGTTGAGAAAGTTGGAAAAGCTTTTTTTCTTTTTGTCAGAAACAATCTACAACCAGTGTTCCCTTTATCTATCTACATGTTCTGTCTTGGCATAGACGGAAAGTGTTATCACAAACATCTGACAGTGTAAATCTGAGTGCAAGTATATCTAACACTAACAGTAAGTTCACTTTGCCTTATTCTGATTTTGTATCTCTTTTTTTTATTTTCCCATCTCCCCTGCGAGTCCAACTTGCTCAACATGCAGTACGACAGCACAACACTAAAATACTATTGAATGCTAAGTAATTCATGCTAAATGGTTATCTCATTTAAATGCACTACATGCAGGACCTGGAATATTTACAGTTATCTGTTATAATATAATTTTACAATGCAAATGTTACAGTTTGTATGTTTTTCTATGAGATTACATGTCAGAAAGACTATTTATTGGTGTGTCACAAAGAATGAAAGGGGTTTAATGAATAGGTTATGTTGCTTTATATGTTGGGAAATATTTACCTTAGGTACCTTAGCATTGGATGCTATTTGAAATGACATTCCTTTTAGTACTACTATGTTCACATGATAGGAAAACAACAAAGCTATTTGGAGTTGGACATGAAGCGGTGTTTCCTCCTGAGAGTCCTGTTCTGACCCGGTACCTGTGCAATGACAGAAATACAGTACTTGAATGTTTTTGGGTTGACAGTATGGACGGGGTTCACAGAGCTGGACTCATGCTGAGGAGTGCATTGTGGGAGATGGATCCCACTACAGGGAGAACCTCGGGCACTGCTCTTTGAATTTCATATTCTCAGTGTAAATAGCTATAAATACTTTGAAGACCAAGCTGCACCGCACAGTGATTTGCTTCTGTGTTCTGCTGTTGCATTGTTACTGTGAAGATCTGTTTACTAAATGAATAAAGTGTGCAATAAAAACGAAAGCGAGGACAATTTGTTCTTGTGCAGCGGGCTGTAGACATGATTTTATATGCGGAGAGAGGTACATCTGCACTTGTTTTAATTCATTTAACCCAGGGGTGTCAAACTCAAGGCCCGGGGGCCAAATCCGGCCCGCGACTTCATTTTATGTGGCCCGCAAGAACTTGCAAAGAATATGATACGTTTATTATACGATTACACGCCACTTTACAGAAGCAGGTTGCCCACAATGCATCTCGTTTGCGCACTGAAGAGACTTGCATTTATTTGCCCTGGACTTCTGCTTTCAAAAGTAGTTAGTTATTACCCTATCCAATAATAATCCAATTCAGAGTCAATAATGTAATATAATACATTATTTTATATATATATATATATATATATATATTATGTATATTTATATAGTTACAACTGGCCTTTTGAGTCCAACCATAATGCTAATGTGGCCCTCGATGAAATTGAGTTTGACACCCCTGATTTAACTCAGATGCATAAGTGGGTCTTTTTGGACCCGGTGAGGTGTTTTTCTTGAAGTATCTTTGTAATTAAATGTTTTTATCATTTCATATTCCAGCTATTCCTCAAAAACATGTTTTTGGATATCATGCCATTCACATTTTTAATTTACATTTTAAGAAATTGTAGTTTTTGTATTACTACCCCAAGCTTCCATAAGTGGGTCAAAAATGACCCGCATGCATTTTTTATGGAATCCTATGGGAACCTTTTATTCTTATCACCTGTTGCTGTCAGGAATACATTCACTGTAGACCACACAGACTACATCACAAGTGACACCTCTCAGGAAGATTATTTTACACAGCCAGATCTGATACCTGTCAGTATTATAATAATAATAATAATAATAATAATAATAATAAATCTACTACTACTAATAATAATAATAATAATAATACATTATATTTGTATAGGGCTTTTCAAAGACTCAAAATCGCTTTACAATATAAAGGAAGGTTAGGGTGGGGGGTATAGGACTATCAAACATGATCAACCGGCATGGATTGAC